AAAAAGTGTCCATAACTCCCATTTCGCATAAAAACAGGTATCCGACCAACGGCGGCGATGGTCGACCGACCATTTCGGCTACTCTGGACGTTGACGTTTGCTTAAAATTCATCTGAATTAGAAACACAAAGCGTGTCTGTTTATTATTTGATGCAAACTAATGAAAGTATTCGTTTATTCAAAGACTAGTCCATGATTACTGTTGATAACTTCCCGTGCAAATTTTACTACTTTTATTTAACAAAGTCAAGTGTAAGAGGTTTAAGAGCGTTATACAGTCTGTTTCAAATGGGTTAAGTCGGCGCATTATTGTTAATTTTCATAGTTGTGTAGTTAGAAACACGCTTAACTTATCAAAACTGTATACTTTACCATTTTCTTACTGTATCCAAATATGTAATTAAACAAACAAATTTCGCATTTTCCAGATCATTACAAAAATGTGACAATAATATTCTCAACCGTATGTCTACCTAGTTTTAATAGGGCGGCTACCTAGTCCATTGAAATGTTACAGTTTTTTGGGCTTAGCGTGCGTTTGTCAGAGGACGCAATTTTATTTTTTAATATCAAGAAGGACTTAGTCTAGTTAAATCCAAGTTTGTGGGGTTGTAGCCCTTGTCCCGCGGCCGCCATCTTGAAAAAAGGGGTGCAAATGGTTTTTATGGTTTATCTGACACCCTATTGGTCTCACAAAAAATTTGTTCAGACATTTTTGATTAAGAATAAAATTCTCTAAAACTTTGGTTCAGTAACTTTTAGTCGTATAACCAGAAGTAACAAAGTTATAAACGAAAATTGATGAACATTTTGTAAAAAATTTTCAATTGGTCGTTATAACTTTTTTTCTGGTCATTTAAAAAAAAATGACATCAGGCCATTTTTATAGAGGAGTTTGCAAGGAATAATTTTCATTACAAACTTTTTCGATTTTATTCATTCATTAATATTTTATAGCGCTTCAGTGATAAACTATAAATAAATATTAATGATTTTAACGTATGTACCTTTCTAATGTTCTAAATGACATAATTACTGTTTCCTTAGTCTTTTTGATGGATCAGGCTGCGTTGGAATTGAAAACAAGTTAAATGTACTTACACTTTGTCACTGTTTTGGCGAATCGTTTGTATCTAATGCTGTTAAAAGAATCATCATCTTTATTGCCACCATATAAAAAGATGAAAAAATTTTCACCAATGACAGTGAGCAAAGCAGGATCGATTCTCTTATTGAGGAACAACGCTATTCCA